ATTACTGTAAAATCTGAATGATGTTATCCGAAATTTATGATCATGATTGGTAGGGAGTCGTCGGTTGAGTTTTAATTCGAGTAAACGTGAATATTTCGTAACACATGAAAAAAATAACAGACAGAAATACATTTATGATCATGAGTTTGTCGGATAATGTGCGTTATTTCGAAAATCGGATTCTCTATAGCACAATTAATTTTAAAACAATGCTTATGAGCGTCGAAATAGTGCTTATATCAAATAATATATCAGCAGATTTATATATAGTAATAGCCAGACTTGAAAAATTGTCTTTTATCTGGTAAAGTAGAATGGCATACTCGAAATAGCGCGCAAGTGATTATGATACCGCAAACACTCGTTATGTCGAGATTTCACAGTAAAAAAAAAAATAAAATAAAAAATAAAGGTTATTTTTTGTTGGTATCATCTATCTATTTTTAGGAAGTGAATCCCCAGAGGCCCACACTAATTATGTATTCAAAAGCACCATAATGTATGTTTGAATGCAATTTAATTTAATTGTTCTTTTTCATTTATAATATGTAAACACTAAATCCCTTATTCCACATAGACGTCTAAGGCACGAAAGATTTTCACAGCTATGGAGATCATTGTGCTATAGATGTTATGCAAAACCATTGCAAGTTAGGTGAACACCTTCCTTTATTTGCTTTGTTGTATCATGTAGTGGATATATCATGTTGTTTCGGTGTTACTTACGGCTTTAGCTAATGAGTTATCTGAGAAAGTAAAAGTTACTGTGTCAGCTCATTCTATTGCTTTTGTAAAACTGGATGAAAGTTTGGATACGCATTTTAAATATCTTAAATTTTTTGCATTGTCGAAATAATCAACACAAGTCATTTTTTTCATTAGGTAAGTCTATTCAACAATAGTATTTGTCGATTTCATTGTTGCAACAATATTATTTTATATTATTTAGGATCTGAGCTTATCAAATATATAACACATTCGGTGATGGATTTGGGGTTTAAATTTATTGTCGGGATTATCGTGGAAATGGATTATGCTGGAAATGTTTTTTAGCCTATATGAAAAATCTACTCTATATTATTAAAATCGGTGAGTAATGCGAATAGTAGTGGTGTATTGTTTAGTAAAATAGTGGTGTATAATATATTAAATGAGTAAACACGTGTGTATGGTTGGTGAGATCATAGCTGTGTATAAAGTAACATATTGTGTATGGTATACAAACGTAGGCAAACTAGACTTCGGGCTTTTAAACTTTTAATATCGGGCCAACTCCGAATAATTTTAATAGGTCGAGTCTAGTGCTCCTAACTAAACAGGGTTGTACTGTTCAACCCGTTTGATAACTCGACCCCATTTAACCAGTACACGACCCAGGTTAATTAGGCATATGCAATTATGTAAATAAAAATAATCTATTGACATAAATAAATTAAAAATAAACTATCACTACGTAATATTACAATCAATAAAAAAATAAAATTAAAGAGAAAGAAATTAAAAAAAAGAAATTGTCTTTATTTATC